TATTTATTATTGTTGATGAGGTTTTTAAGTAGTCGAAGGCGTAAGTTTAGATTAATTTTTTTGGACTTAATATGCTGTGCCCAGGTCAGTCTTTTATCAATGGTTAAGCCAAGATATTTAACATTCGAAGCACTGGGAATCAGAGTATTATAAATAAAGACATCAGGGCAAGGGGTGAGTTTAAGGGTGAACGTCGCATGTACCGATTTAGTTTGACTTATTTTGAATCTCCAGTCAGTGTACCACTTCTCCATGAGATTGAGGTGAGATTGGAGATTTTGAGAAGCTATGACGGGATCAGAGTGTATCGAAAAGATTGCCTTATCATCTGCATAATCGGCGACTAGTGTATTAGGTGTCGTTGGTTGGTCTGAGGCAAATATATTGTATAGGGTAGGGGAGAGGATACCACCTTGCGGGACACCGGCTGATATATTTCCTATGGAAGAAAATTCGTCACCGACACGAACTTGAAAGTGGCGATCGGAGAGATACGACTTAATAATAGCGAAGTAAATAGGATGAAGAAACTTTTTTAATTTATACAGGAGGCCATCATGCCATACCCTATCAAAGGCCTGAGCAATATCCAGAAAAGCGCTTGTACAGTAAAGTTTTTTCTCTAGTGAATAAGAAATGGCGTCGACGACTCTGTGAACCTGTTTGGACGGTAGAATGAGAAGAGCGAAAACCGAATTGTGTATCAGGAAGGATGGTTTTTTCAGTAATAGATGGAAGGATACGTTTTAATATAAGTTTCTCTAGAACTTTAGCGAAAAAAGGGAGTAAACTTATAGGTCAAAAAGAGGTTATTGAGTCAGGTGGCTTATTAGGCTTGGGTACTAGGATGATGATAGAAAATTTCCACAGCATGGGAAAGTATGATAGTCTAATAATGGAATTAAAAATATGTGAAAGATGGATAAAGGCTTTATTAGGTAAACACCTAGCTACTTCGGCAGTAACCAGGTCAAAACCTGGAGATTTCTTAAGGGAATATTTATTTATGGCATATTTTATATCGTTGGGTGTGAAATGTTTAATAGGATTAGATGGCAAGTACGGTGGGGAGTTAAGAAAATCTTCCACAATATTAGTATTGGTTTGAGAGTAAATATCAGGGTGAGGTTGAAAAATATCAGATAAATGTACTTTAAAAAGTTCAGCTTTATCAGCGTCAGAGGTGACATAGCTTCCGTCCGGAATTTTAATTGGCAAATTGGAGGTTTTGAATTTACAAATGTTTTTAGTCGCTCTCCAAAGACTGCCATCTTTTGGTGAGAGATTGGAAAGAAAATTATTGAAGGTTTCAGATTTATGTTTTGCCAGAACTTTTTTAAGATAATTTGTTAATTTATTGTATTTGTGCTTATGAGAAGGAAGACGAGTTCGTTGAAAAATAGCTCTAGCTCTGCGTTTTTCTACTATTATACAGCGAATATATTCTGGAAGAAGAGGGTTGTGAAATGAAGTTAGAGTTTCTGGGGTAGAAGACCATGCCGCAGATTGAATAAGTTTTGTAAAATTATTTACAGCATGATCGATGTCATTAGTTGATTTTAGTTTTACATTTAATTTTATTTGTTGGTTAACAAGATCATGAAATTTGTTTTTATCGGTAGAGGGTTTAAATAATTTAGGAGATTCAAGACGTATTAGAGGAGCAGCACTTATAGTTAACAGGATTGAGGAGTGGTCAGAATTTAATTCAAGGAGATTTTCGGTGTAGCAGTTTAAGTTACTAGGTATCTTGGTCACAAAGATATCTAAGATATCGGGGTTTTTGCGTGTTGAAGTGGTCCAATAGGTTGGGCCAGGAGGAGCAAGAATTTTGTAATTTTTAGTTGATATGAAATTTTGGACTATTCCACGTGGATTATTAACACGACATCCCCAGGCCAGGTGTTTCGCATTATAGTCACCTCCAGCTATAAAATTGTTGTTAATTGAGTTAAAGTAGTCTGTAAAAATTTGATTAGTAATTTTGTGCTTAGGGGGAGAGTAGACAGCTGCTATGGTAACGGGGACATTATTAATTTTTGTAACTAAAGCACATGATTGAAGATATTCTTGACAAAAATTTGGAAGAGGTTGATAGACAATGGAAGATTTAATTATTATGGCAACTCCACCTTGCGCTGTGTTATCGGGATGATTTGTTTTTAATACTTTGTAACCAGGAATGTTAATGTGCGTATATTTGGTGAAATGTGTTTCGGTTATAAGAGCAATGTCTATGCGTTTATTGTATAATACAGTTTCAAGAACGTTAATATGATTTTTTAGGCCATTTGCATTGAATTGAAGGATAAGGGTAGATTTGTTAGTGATATTATTAGCAGACATTTATATTTTATCGAGTAATTTTGTGATTAATTTATTGAGAAGAGTGATAAGAGGTTCAATAAGTGATTTGAACTCACCAATGAAATTTTTGAGCTCAGAAGTGGAGTTAGGATCTGTATTGGTAGATTCACCAGAGGTGGCTTGAGCGTATGTGGGTACGTGGTTAAAGGGTTGATTTATTGAAGTTTTAGTTAGTGGGTGGCTGTCTTTAACATTTGTATTCTGATTTCTAATATTATCTGCTAAAAAGTTACTCTTGGTGGTAGGTTTCCTGCCGCGTTGAAGCTCCCTATACACTGAGCATCCCTTGTAGCTGGCAGGGTGATCTCCAGAGCAGAGTGCACATTTTGGTGGGTCTGAGCGTGAGGTTGGACATGAAGAAGACTGATGATGATCACCACATCGGAAGCAGCGTGAGTGGTAGCCACAGTAGGTTTTAGTGTGACCATATTCCTGACAGTTAGTGCATTGACTGATCACTTTAGGTTTGAAGGGCTCTTCAACTTTTATTTTGGTGTGAAGGAGAGAGGTGAGCTTATAGATATCGTTTGAATGGTCAGTCGGTTCTAAGTCAACAAAGAACAGAGGGAGTGGACATTTGGTGGTTTTATGTAGCACCTTCGAGACCTGTCTGACCTCAAAACAACGAATCTCGAGTTCAGATTTTATTAGTTGTGTAGGTGTAGACTGATGAATGTTACGAATAACTACACGTAAAGGTTTATCTTCTCGTAGCTGATATGTATGGTATTCAGCATTGCTTTCTTTAAGATAGCGAATAAGTATTCTGTAAGAATCCGGGTTTGCGGTTTGAATTTTTAGGCGGTCACCAGCAGACTTACAAAAGAAGTTATCGACACCAATTAGTTCGATTAGTACAGAGCAGAAGGTCGGATAGTCTAAGATACCTTTCATGAATATCGGGGGAGGTGGTTTGATGTGTATATCTTCATTTGGTTCTTCTGCAACATCTGGTGAACCGGTAACAGCGGTTGAACCGGTATCCATGACTGTCGGTTCATTTTGAGTTAGAAGTTCGTAACGGTTGCGTGTAGTAAAAAGTTTTTTGTTTTGTGAACCTACGAGTGTAGGCGAAGTTTTGGTGGAAGAAGTGTCCGATGAGGAACTTGACAAATTTCTTTTGGATTTGGATGTCTGCGTTTGCCAGCCATCGTTTGCTTGGCTGTTCATATTACTACTTTGAGTACTGCGGCTAGAGTTAATGGAATTACTAGAAATTGCAGGAGTTGATAAGCGAGCAGGCTGTATAGTGCTGTTTACTTTATTGGTATTACAATTAATTGTTTTATTTTGTGCACGATTTGATTTTGGAGTGGTCGGCATATCTTACGTGAGCAAGGTCACGAACCGCTGCGCGACGCACTCGATGCCGCGATAACGCGAACGCGTTATCTAAGACGGCGCGACTGTTAGATAATCGCACTTTTAGTATATGTTAAAATAAAATTACATTTTGTAAAGCACACGAAACGGCGTACTTACAAGTTAAAATTAAACTAATAATTTGGATTGAAATTAATGTTAGCAATTTTTACATATCACTTTGGACATAAACGGTTGCGATGAACAAGAACGAAAACGAGATTTAACGGAGTTAAATAAATACGTGTGCGTCGGGCGCAGCGCGAACCGGGACTATGACCTATAAAAATATAATTTTTAATTTATTAATATAAAATTAGTTTGTTGTTGTATATTAATTTGTATTAATTTTGATTCCCTAGACAATTTACACAGGTAGGGGGGGAAGATGAATCTTTTGTGCAAGCGGAATAGTGATAATCTCTCGAACATTTTACGCATCTGGGCGGAAGTTTACAGAAATTTTTGGTATGCTGGAATCTTTGACAATTTTGGCATTGAGGTATGTTAGAATCAGTTTTACGGTTTTCGATACATATAATGCAGTTTAGTAGACGGTCTACCGAAAATATGTGAAATATTTAGTGACAGTGCGGTAGTCATCGACCGATGTGAGATTTAGTCTCAAGACAGTATTTTTGTTAGCTATGCTAAACTCATCTATTATCATTGATGTTATTGTGTCGCGAAAGTGAATATAGTCTGTGATATCGTAAACATAGAGAGGTGTAATTTTTTTCTCACCTCAATGATTTCATAGCATGGCCATGCCGTTGGCGGCCGCTGTATCCAAGGTCAATTTGTCGTCGGCGGCGTCGTCGGTAAAATAATATGAAATATTATTTGAGCAAGCATCCAGCATGTAAAAGGCCTTAAACAGTGTTACCAATTGTCATGTCCAGTGTTACCAATTAAAATAAATAATTATATTATTTTTTGTTAATTATTGCAGTTTAACATTAGACATGCATCCAATAGGTTGGTTGCCACCTAGTATTACTAATAGTGTTATGCAGTCTAATTTAGAGTACTCTAATAATGTAATCGAAACAAATAAATATAAAGGTAATGGAGGAATTACTCTACCGGGAACAAACTTCGTTGGACCAGGTAACAAACTAGTAGATTCAAATGGAAAAGCAAATTTCAACCGTCTTCCAGACCATTGCGCTGATTGGGTCGCAATGGAACATGATGCAGATTACTATAACGCTAGTATTACGAATCATAATCAAATACACGAAATCGAAAAAATAGATAACAAAGCTATAGATACAGCTTGGAGAGAATGTTTGAAGAATCAACCAATTATTACAACCGCTCTGGTGACGGGTTTGAAAACTAAAAAACATATGGAATTGCTAGCTGAACAGTCAGTGTTCCCATTCGGTTCGAACGAAGCGGTCTATCCTGGTTCGACGTCAAATTCAAGTACTCCAATAACGTGGTTCACAAAAGCGAAGTCAAGACGTAGATTTGAAGTTGGTAAGCATGCCTTTTCGTTATTTAGGAGCCCCACCTCCTTTTAGAAATAATTGGTCGTCATTAAATTCCTCGCAAAAAAGATATGCAATTGAACAACACAACATTGCAAGACGTAGACGTAATTTACCACCTTATGTTTTAGGACAAGAGCCAATAGAGGAGGTGGGAGAAGATAGCAGCAATATATTTCGTGTGCCAGAAAATTGGAATTGGAGGGAAGATCCTGATTTACAAACTCATAATAATATTAAACCAATACAACCGAGAATTATTGATTCAATGAGTATATCATCAACTAGTGGAACACAAGGAGTTAAACGTACAAACGATGCTTCGTCATCAGCCTCTGATACAAAGAAGACCAAACTTCCTGGTACGGGGGATGCGAATGATGGTGACCCAGATACTGGGAATCCTAGCACTCAAAATGCTGTATTGGATCGCCCAATTCCTAACACAACCGGACACATTATGGTATTTAGAAAGAATCATTCACTTATTAGTTATGGGGTGGCAAGCGTTCAGCTTACACTTGATGGATTTGCTTCTGAACGTGTGGGAACAACAGGTTTGATGTACTTACCAGTAGATAAACCTTATTTTTATTTGTCTCCGTCAGAATTCAATAGCATCGTTTCCAACATACGTGGAGTTAGGGTAAAAGAAATTAAAGTTAAAGTTGTTATGAGAAATCCAAGAACCGCTTTTGAAACTAATGCCAGTACATCAACATTGGCTACATTAAATCAGAATAAATTCATACAATATGCTGAAGGCTTAATAAATAAAACTAGAGGATTCAATACCGTTTACAAATTCGAATCAGGAACGAATACTATGAAACCGACAAAAGTCAATACTGTTGATGATTCATTTGTCAAAAAAATAGTATCTGCGATGTACGGAACAGATAAAGATGATTGGCTTAAACCAAATTGGAAAGAAGGTGCGACTTTACCTTGTTCACTTATGAACTTACCTATGCAGTTCCCAGTTTATTATACAATGTATGCTAATAATGCACAACACGATGGTAAATTAGGTTGGCCGATATTCAATCAACACGTAACAAAATGTGATGCCAGTACTATGATTGGTAAAACTGTATTGAATTATAAGTACAAACCAAAAGTCAGTTTTTTAAGTGCACCATGGACTCCTGTGCATAACGGTAGAAATACTACTAAAGGTACAAACGTTACAGATTTTATTGTTGCTAATACGGGTCCTATGGTTATACCTGATGTAACAACAGTCAATGCTCACACTGGTTTAATGCAACGAAAACAAGTAAATTTTGAACTTCTACAGTCGTCCCAGTGGAATCAAATTTTTACCGATAATTTTGATCGTTATTCAGAACCGTTGGAAATGAGTCAATATGTTAAACGATCTTTCGGTGAATCAAACTATGGAACAGTTCAACCATCGTTGCACGTTGGAGTTTGTGCTGTACCTCAATTAACTACAACAAATGTTGATTTAGTACCAGATAAGTTTACTGATATTGAGTGTACGTGGGATATCGAAACGGAGTTGATTTGTGAATACGGATTGCCATATCACTATAGTCATTTCGCATCTCCTCATGTAGAATTAGAAAATGCTTACATGACTATACACGGTATGGACGCACATGATAGTTATTGGGAAGAAATGTCATTGTTCAACAACCAATATGTTGTTCCAGTAATTAAGAAATAGCAATTACAGAAAAATTATTTGTCTGAGTTGGAATTACATTCACAAACAAATGAAAATGATGAACATAGTCCTTTTCAATTGCATATTGATAATAGGAAAATTAATCCTAAGTTTAATAATGTATAACAAAAAAAATTCAATTTAATATTAAATGTATATTTGATATTTATTAAACAATTTTAACAAAAACAATGGATTTATTTTTTTATTATAATCGCGTAAAAAAGGTGCTGATATCCAATTATATAATCTAATTCTACTTTGGAATGCACTCATACCAAAAATGGACAACATATCATTAGTAAGTATAATTATTGGTGGACCTTGTAACGGGGCGTCGCCTTGGTATTTCACATGTACTCT